TGTAGCGGCGGAACATGGACTTACTAATTAGCAAATTACCAATAAAAAATCTAAGGATAATGGTTTGAAACAACATGAACGCAGTAAAAATGAAAAATGTGCCACTCAGACTATAAAGCTCCATTTAGAATTATCAGTCCAGGAGAAACAGTTAATGAAAAAAATATCAAATGATTCAAAATTTAGTATCCACTGAAAAACAATGCAGTGATAGAACAAGGAAACAAACAAGTCAATAACTAATTCCTGGGAGGATTATCTATACATAGGTGAAGTATTTCTAAAGATATTTGGAAACAGAATTAAGTACTTTTATTGCACTCTCAACGAGATATAAATACCTCTACCATAAATAAAAAGAACATACGTTTTATACGAATATGTAACTATATTTTTCGTAATCTAAAATATTTACAATTAACTATCATCTAACAAAAAGAAGCGAACTTTGCACACTACCGAATCCTGGTGACGAATCTTTATCTCAATGGTCACTGGATCGTTGGATGTTTTATCAAAGAGGACAGCATTAGATACTACCTCAGTAGCAACGACATCTTCGGATATCGGAAGAAGCGTAATCGCGGTTTGGCTCACGTGAACACATCTTCCCCGACAATAGACCTTTTGTTCCATCCACAGATTTCTGTATTCTGCCGACCGGCGATACACCAGCTCAAATTGTAGCACCCCACTGCAGAACATGGATTTCGACATGCTGATGCAGTGGACGTCGGCGTCGTCATGACAGATATAATACCCATAAGGAGAATTACTGACGGGGTTCCGACAAACAATTTGGTCGATCCGGAAATCACGACCAGCTATAGTTACAGCCATCTGTAAAAAAAAAAGTACTATTACTTAGTTATTGGATATGATACTGGTTTGACATCTAAAAAAACGAGCAAAATGAAAAATAAGTACATACCTTTCCGCTTTGTGTTTTAACTCTGGGGCAACGTTTCTCGAAGTTTGGTTAGCCACCTTCAGAAGTGCAAACAAAAGTGGGGTAGGAGAATTTGCATTGGTCGATGGTGGGGCGAAAGTGGGAAAACTTGGTTGGAGGGGATAACTAATTCCTGGAGAGGTTCTAACAATGTAAGTTTTACTGTACACAAAAGATTTATGGGTAATACCGTTAAAAAACTATGGCAGGTGTTAAAATATGATGGCAAAAAAATGCAGACATTATGTTTTTTAAATTTCGTTGTAAGTCGATTTTCTTCTTGTTTTTATTACGAGTTTACAATTATAATAATTTACAAAATTAATCTCGGGTTTAAAAAGTTGTATTGATTTAATTGAGGAAGTAGATTCAAAAAATGATTTCATTATTATGAATAAAGATATTTTTGATGGTTTAGGATGGAAGCTAATTCTGCAAGAAGAGTTCTTGTAGCAATTAGAAATTGTTTAGAAAAAGTTTAAACTTACTTGTAATTAGCAAAGTAAATAATGAAACATCTGAATGGGTCAACAACATAGTTGTTGTTGGAAAGCCAGACAAATCATTACGAATTTGTTTGGATCCCAAAGAACTAAATGAATTTATACTGAGAGACTTTTATAATATTTCCACTCTGGATGACATTATTATTAAACCAAAATTAGCTTATAAAAAAATTCTTTACACTTTTAGATCTCAAAGATGGATTTTCGCATGTGCATGCGACTGACAGAAGAATCTTCAAAGTTATGTACGTTTAGTACACCCTTTTGACTGTATCGTTTCATTCGTATGCCGTTTGGTATAAAATCAACTCTTGATGTTTTTCAAAAGTTAAATAGTAAATATTTTTCTGGTACTGATGGAATAATAATTTATATAGGTACTTAAATGATATTTTAATATATGCTGACACGAGAGAAGAACATGAAAGGATTTTAAAGCAGGTAATAGATAGAGCTATAAATTACCTACAGGTAAATTTACTTATCTTTGAGTACCTGGAAAATAACAATAACGTCTACTTAAAGCAAAGCAAATCTTTCTGTAAAATCATTTTCTATTCCAAGAAATTTGTATGCCTTTGAATATTTCGTGAAAACGAGAATAACCACTATTCAATTTAGTTATCTGTAAATTTCAAATTGCCGTTACAAAATTTGTACCGAATTTTCGAAGATACCTAACTCTAGGGTTAAAAAGCAGAAAACGGCAGAACCAAACACATCACTTACAACAATCGACTAAGAGAAGATAAATATTTTTATAAATTTGAAAAAGTCACTTTTCTTGACGTTGGTAAATTTGGTATTGAAAATTAAAAACAAAAATATATTAGTAACTTGAAAACGAGAGTCACAGAATTTGCGAAAATATTTGCAGATAAAATTTAAGAAAAATACGTTTTACTACAATATGTAAGTAGGTACATAGTAATTTTTTATCATCATCCAAAATATTTACAATTAAACTCATGTAATTAAAAAAAGATACTCAGTCTTTTGTTAGATTTTATTTACATCATATGTAGGAGTATATATTTTTAAATATACGTTATTATAAAAATAGAAAAAAAAGGCACCGGTGATACTAAACAACAACAAACTAAACATGAAAACCAGAGAAATCTTAAGGCTGTGTTGTTATCAGTAAGAGAAAAGAGCCTATTTACGAAAAGTCAACTTGGATACGTCTATTTTCGCTTAAACCATTAGGCAACCAATAATTCAAGCAGCTGTAGAGAGGACGGTGACAACCTAAAAAGATTCATCCTGGAGAAAATAGTCAAAACTATAACAGAAATAATGTCGGAAATTAAGGACATATGAAAAGACTTTCAAATAAATAGAGATGAAATTAAACCGCTCAAACAAGAGAACAAGGAAATAAAAGAGCAAACGAAGAATCTAAGCGCAACGTGAGTGAAAAAATTTGAGCAAACAGACGAAATGGAAAGACAGAAAAACATTGTCATAACGGGACTCAACATTCTAAATTTATATCAATTATGAAAGTCTTTTACACTCCTCATTTGAAAACACGGAAAACTTGTCCCTCAGTTTCCACACGCATTTGGAATTGAAAATTTAAAAAATTCGATTTAAACGAATATGTGTATTTTTAAACAACGTCTTGTGATATTTCTAGTCTAAAAATAATAAGGCAAAAAATGGATATCGTCTATAAAACTGACAGCGACGGCGACGAGTCAAGACGTTGAACTGTGGTGCTCCGTAGTTTATGTGCAGTTATTAAGTAATTCTTTGTATTTTGTATGGCGATTGTTGTGTCATAAGATGTCCTGGGTACTTGTGGTGAGTTTGTTTCCAGTTGTCTGGGATTTCTTGTTTTTTTCCTGTGGTGTGAATCTTATTCATTCCTAACTTAAGGTCGATTTTTGCGATATTCATTTTTTATCGTTTCGTAACTATTTCTTTAATACTCACTGGCATTTCTTGCAGTGCCATTGCACTATAGCTACCCCGTTTGGGGATTATAAATCTCCATAAAATGGCAATGAAATGCAGGAAATGTAGTAAAAATAGTGCCAGGCAAAATGATTACGTTAGCTCTCGAAAAGAATGTAATGCGAATCACCACATAGCCTGTGTGAATAATAGCAACACTGATTTAAAAGTAATGAAAAGTTTTGGGCTATTGAAAACCTTAAAGGACTTCTATTACAAAGGTTTTAGATATTGAAATTGCCGAGCAGTTACCGGATGCAATAAGACAACTTCTCCTAATTTGGATCTTACCAGCTTATCTGACTTGACCAGAAGGGCATATGCTATTTTTTTGTACAAGCTTTTGCATAACCATGTTGACAGTCCTGCTATTCTAACTCAATTGTCTTTTGACATTGGTAAAAGGTCTATGAGTTCTCGTCATTATCAACTTTTTTATCTGCACCCACCTAAAGAATCGATGTTAAAAAATTTAGCCCATTGTTCAATCTTCGTTCTATAGGCAATGACATTAATCATGTTGTGGATCTTTTTAACTCGTCGCTCAAATGTGTTAAATCGATTTGAAATTTATTTTTTATTTTGATTTTTTTTGTGGTTTATTAATCAGCAGTCTCGTCATGGGAGCACCGTCATACGTATAGGAGTGGTGTAACATAAGGCACTTGTGCTTTTACTGCTGTTTTTACTCTTTACTTGCTTCAATTTAGCATCCTTTAATTACAACGTTTTTTTTCTGTTGGATTCTTAAGTGCGACAATAGACGTTTTGTATGTTACCGTTGTCAATAATTATAATAATAATAACAATTTGAACGCATGTAAAAATACCATTACGCTTTTAAAAGGGAAGTTTGAGGCGTCCAAATTGGAAAATTTGTTAAGTACTTTCTTCTGTAGGTAAAGTCTTTTCTTATGTATTTTTAAAGTTATATTTGAACATATACATTGAAAAGTAGCCAGTCGTCCAATGGATTATCATTTTATCCCAAACTTCACCCCAAACTTGGCGGTGAAACACAGCCTGCAATGTGCCGCCGCCCACCGCTCCAATGACAATGAGGCGTGCAAATGGTTCAAATGTGAGCTGTGTTTGTTCAGAGCTCGCATAGAACGAGGTTTGATTGTGCATATGACGCAGAAACATGAGGATTCGCAGATTCAGTATTTTTATTACGAGCAGTACGAAATTCAGACGTAAAAGAAGTGGGAAACGAAGTTTTATTTAGGTTTGTTCAGTTAAAAATATCAATCGTCATATCAATGGCTACACTGTGATTACTTGAGTTTAGTTTTTGAACAAATTTAGGAAATGTTACAGGGTTGTTTGAAGCACACAATTACGGGAGAATTAAACTGGAGATATTTGGTAAAATGTAGAACGAAAAATTAGCTAAATTCCGACTTTATTTACATAATAAATGTGTAGATATATTGTGTACCACATCCTCAGTTCAAAATATAACAATTTTTAAAACGACGAAAATAAACAATCCTGTTTCAAAAAATTTTAAAACGTGAATCAATTTTATCCCAACAAAACCTTTTCTTTATGGCGCAAATTCATCAACAATTTACTTTGCTTCATTCTCCCTCTGACTCTCCTTCTTCATCAGAATACTCGGAACTAAACATGAAATTTTTCACAAATTCGTACAACCCATCCTCACTTTCAGATTTCTTGATGATTTTATTAATGACTTCTTGTCCACTCTTCATTTGTTTTCGAAGCTCTTTTTTACAGTCTTCCTCGTCGTCTAAAAACAAATGCAAATAAAAACGACCACAACATTTTTAAATACAAACCTGAATCCACTATATCATAAAAAAGTGCTTGATCTTTTAAGACTAAATGAATGGTAGGATATTCAGTAATTATTTTGTTTCTCAGACAGTCCTTCAGTGTGTATGTGGGGTCGATTTCGTAAAATTTCTTTCCACTTTTTCGTTCCGCTTTCAAGAGAATTCTTATACCTGGTAAATCTGCGGCTTGATAGTACTGCAGCTTCTCCTGCATCTGCTCACTCTCCTGCTTCGCCAAATATTTACTAAGAATTGAGCTAATCCGGCCATTTTCAGGCACCCTTTCCTCGCTGATTTTAAAATTCTCACTATTAACAAAAACCCAGTCCACATGCCACTCAATTATTTTTGTTCCCGTATTAAACATCGAGCTGTTGTTTTTGTGCCTAGCAAAACTCCTTGGTAAAAACTTAAGCGAGATTTTTCTCTGTAAAGCCTGCTGCTGCAGCAACAAAAACCGCTACAAAGTCTCAATTAATATGATTTTGATTACGAGAGTTAAAACTTTACCCTGCTTAAACCAAATCTCAAATTACACCTCGCTTTCTTTGAAACGTCCACCACCCTCGAAATCTCCTCCAAAAGCCTGTAGTCGCTCGACAAATCCAAGTTCGTGAATTTGTTCACTGGGATAAACTTCGTCCGGTCTCTCACTCCGCTGCATTCCACCTCGAGTTTGTGGATTTTGTTGCATTCTAAGGAACACGTTTTGACTTCGCATCGGGGGCAACAGTATTTGGAGTCCCGGATGGCGCAGACTTCGCATTTGCCTAGTCTGAGTTCACTTATTAGACAACATAACATCAAAACAAACGTGAAAACTTACTTGGTTTTTTTAGCAGGAGAGTCGCTGTCTGGGGTGCTTAGGGGCGAAGTTGTGCTTGCTATAGCCATGTTTTTATACTTTCACGAATAAGAGTGTATTTGTGGATTTATTCTCAATTTTTATTTGAATTTCAATCAACCACAAAATGGAAGTGTGACACACAGGTATGACACCGCAGAACTCAATACAAGAAATGAAACCTACGTTGTTAGAGTAGCTTTCAACACGAAAGGGTACAGGTGGTGGGAGTGCGCAGAACATCGTTTTGGTTTGGCCTTACAAATATCGTGCAAACAGTGGCAGCGCAACTTAAGCCCCGCCCCTGTACCTTTTCCTGGTGAAATTACTTCTACGATTTGTTTTAAAAGTCCCTAAATTTAGGGAGTTTGATTCGTTTGACAGTTCTTGCTGGATGTTTTGAGTACGGGGGCCGTTTGATTGATTTAAATACAAGGGGCGGTTTTTCCGGTATTTTTAGATCTTGTACATCAATTTCCAATAATTACAAAAAACATCCTAAACTACAGTCCTAAACTTTAATTATGAAACGGTGGACTAAGAGGAAAAGCCGGGTCTTTTTATTATACGGGGTGTCTGGAAAATGGAGGATTAACGCTACGCCCTTAACAATCAACTGATGAGCCTGGGAAAAATAGTAAAAAAATTCTTTCTCATATTTTGACGGAGTCATAATGATTTTAAAATTGGTTCTTTTGCTACGGTTAACAACTAAACCAGTGAGTTAAATACATAGTCACTGGTCTCGGTCTCCGCTTACAACATCTGTAGATGTAAGTTTTGGTAGATTTGATACAAATGGAGTGAGATAAAGAAATTAGTTTTGATAGTTATGAGAGAAACTTCCGAATAAATCGAAGATGTTAAAATGGAAAAATCGAAAAATTGAAAACTGGAAACTTTTGGGAATCAAAAAATTGAAAATCGAAAAATTGTAAGATTTGCAGTTTTCAATTTCTGGGTTTTTCACTTTTTCAATTTTTCAGCGTCTCTGTTTAAATTTTTCGAGTTATCAGTTTGTTTCTTCAGTTGTTTTTTTATTTACAAATAAACACGATTTTTCGTGTTTCTGTGGTGATTTCGATTTTGGATACTCATTGAAGAAACGAAAAATCGAGAAATCGAAAAATTGTAAAACCAAACAATTGCAAATCGAAAAATTAAAAATCGAAAACTGGAAAAATCTAAAAACTGAACAATGCAAATCAGAAAATTGAAAAACTGAAAAAATGGAAATTGCGAAATTGAAAAATTGTAAAATTGAAACATCAAATAATTGCAAACTGAAACATTGAAGAACCGAAAAACTGAAAAATCGAAGAATAAAAAAATCCAAAACATTGTACCTAATTGTAGAAACGCATAATTGAGAAATCGAAAAAAATTAAAAAATAAAAATCAAGAAATCCAGGAGAGAAAAATCAGAAAATTTATACGAAAAACGGAAAAACCGAAAAATTAAATATTGAGAACTTGAAAAAAATAAAAAACTGAACACTGATAAAAGAAAAATCGAAAAATCAAAATCGCGAAACCAAAAAGTCGAGAAATTGGAGGAGCGAATAATTGCAAACTGAAAAATTGACGAACCGAAAAAATGAAAAATTAGTTTTGATAGTTATGAGAGAAACTTCCGAATTAATCGAAGATGTTAAAATGGAAAAATCGAAAAATTGAAAAATGGAAACTTTTGGGAATCAAAAAATTGAAAATCGAAAAATTGTAAGATTTGCAGTTTTCAATTTCTGGGTTTTTCACTTTTTCAATTTTTCAGCGTCTCGGTTTAAATTTTTCGAGTTATCAGTTTGTTTCTTCAGTTTTTTTATTTACAAATAAACACGATTTTTCGTGTTTCTGTGGTGATTTCGATTTTGGATACTCATTGAAGAAACGAAAAATCAAGAAATCGAAAAATTGAAAAATGGCAACCCAAAAAATCGAACAACGGAAAACCCGTAAGCTCGCAAATCGAAAAATTGTAAGATGAAAAAATTGCGAATCGAAGAATTCAAAAATCGAAACATTAAAAATAGAGAAATCGTAAAACTTTAAAATGGAAAACTAAAAAATCCAGAAATCGAAAAATTACAAAATCAAAAAATTGCAGAAACGAAAAATTAAAAATTGAAAAATTCAAAAAATTGTAGAAACGCATAATTGACAAATCGAAAAAATAAAAGTCGGGAAACTGAAAAATCAGAATACCTATGTACTGAAGAAACCAAACATTGGAAAATCGGAAAATTAAAAATCGAGAAATCGAGAAATTGTAAAATCAAAAATTGCAAATCGAAAAATTAAAAATCGAAAACTGGAAAAATCTAAAAACTGAATATTGCAAATCAGAGAATTGAAAAATTGAAAAAATGAAAATTGCGACATTGAAAAATCATAAAATTGAAAGATCGAATAATTGCAAACTGAAACATTGAAGAACCGAAAAACTGGAAAATTGAAGACATTAAAAAACCCAAAAAATTGTAATTGTAGAAACGCATAATTGAGAAATCGAAAAAAATTAAAAAATAAAAATCAAGAAATCCAGAAAAGAAAAATCGAAAAATTTATACGGAAAAACCGAAAATTTAAATATTGAGAACCTAAAAATTCAAAAAACTGAAAACAAAAAAACTTGCAAATCGGACGATAGAAGAAAAATCGAAAAAATCAAAATCGCGAAACCGAAAAGTCGAGAAATTGAACGATCAAAAATTGCAAACTGAAAAATTGAAGAACCGAAAAAATTAAAAATAGAAAATCGAAAAATCGAAGAATATAAAAATCCAAAAAATTGTGGAAACGCATGATTGAGAAATTTTCCAGAAATAAAAATCGGGAAATCGAACAATTGGAAAATTGAGAAATTGAAATATTCAAGAAACGAAACATTGAAGAAATCATAAAATTTAAAATGAGGAAATCGAAAAACTGAAAAATGGCAACTTAAAAAATCGAACAATGGAAAACTCGGAAACTAGCAAATCGAAAAATTGTAAGATCAAGAAACTGCGAATCGAAGAATTCAAAAATCGAAACATTAAAAAAAGAGAAATCGTAAAACTTTAAAATCGAAAACTAAAAAAATCCAGAAATCGAAAAATTACAAAATCAAAAAATTGCAGAAACGAAAAATTGAAAAATCAAAAAATTGTAGAAACGCATAATTGACAAATCGAAAAATTAAAAGTCGGGAAGCTGAAAAATCAGAATATGTACTGAAGAAACCAAACATTGGAAAATGGGAAAATTAAAAATCGAGAAATCGAAAAATTGTAAAACCAAACAATTGCAAATCGAAAAATTAAAAATAGAAAACTGGAAAAATCTAAAAACTGAACAATGCAAATCAGAAAATTGAAAAACTGAAAAAATGGAAATTGCGAAATTGAAAAATTGTAAACTTGAAACATCAAATAATTGCAAACTGAAACATTGAAGAACCGAAAAACTGAAAAATCGAAGAATAAAAAAATCCAAAACATTGTACCTAATTGTAGAAACGCATAATTGAGAAATCGAAAAAAATTAAAAAATAAAAATCAAGAAATCCAGGAAAGAAAAATCAGAAAATTTATACGAAAAACGGAAAAACCGAAAAATTAAATATTGAGAACTTGAAAAAAATAAAAAAACTGAAAACTGATAAAAGAAAAATCGAAAAATCAAAATCGCGAAACCAAAAAGTCGAGAAATTGGAAAAGCGAATAATTGCAAACTGAAAAATTGGCGAACCGAAAAAATGAAAAATCGAAAAAACTAAAAATCCAAAAATTAAAAATAGAAAATCGAAAAATCTATATTGAGAACCTAAAAATTCAAAAAACTGAAAACAAAAAAACTTGCAAATCGGACGATAGAAGAAAAATCGAAAAAATCAAAATCGCGAAACCGAAAAGTCGAGAAATTGAACGATCAAAAATTGCAAACTGAAAAATTGAAGAACCGAAAAAATTAAAAATAGAAAATCGAAAAATCGAAGAATATAAAAATCCAAAAAATTGTAGAAACGCATGATTGAGAAATTTTCCAGAAATAAAAATCGGGAAATCTAAAAATTGGAAAATTGAGAAATTAAAATATTTAAGAAAAATCATAAAATTTAAATTGGAGAAATCGAAAAACTGAAAAATGGCAGCTTGAAATATCGAAAAATGGAAAACTCGAAAACTAGCAAATCGAAAAATTGTAAGATCAAAAAATTGCGAATCGATGAATTCGAAAATCGAAACATTAAAAATAGAGAAATCGTAAAGCTTTAAAATCGAAAACTAAAAAATCCGGAAATCGAAAAATTGAAAGATTGAAAGATCGAAGAATTACAAACTGAAACATTGAAGAGCCGAAAAAACGAAAAATCCAAAAATTCCAAGAACATTGTAGGAAATTGTAGAAACGCATAATTGAGAAATCGAAAAAATAAAATAAAAATCAAGAAATCCGGAAAATAAAAATCGAAAAATGTAGGTATACGAAAAACGAAAAAACTGTAAAATTAAATATTGAGAACTTGAAAAAAAAACTGAAAACCGATAGAAGAAAAATCGAAAAAAATCAAAATCGCGAAACCGAAAAGTCGAGAAATTGAACGATCGAATAGTTAACTGAAAAATTGAAGAACCGAAAAAATGAAAAATCGAAAAAACTAGAAATCCAATTAAATGCATAGTCACTGCTATAGGTATATACCTACGATAAACGGATTATCCAACACAAAAAGATTTTTTGAGTTCGAACCAGTAGTTTTTGAGATTAGCGCGTTCAACCAAACAAACTCTTCAGCTTTGTAATATAAATATAGAAGTATAGATGAGTGCCACAATGGCCTTATGAACGAGTTATTTATACTATTTTTTCTACCACACACGTTTTTTCGCAAAATTTAATTGAAATTTGAGTTTTTTTAAATCTGGGGAATTTGGCGTGGTTGGTGAACCACGAGACATTTAAAGTTCGAATTGTCAGAACAACAATTGTAAATCGAATTAATTCGAATTTTTGTGAGACCAAATAAATTTTATTTCATCTACCTAATAGTAGTCTTTGTATGTTTGTATTGATGAGGCTGATACATGTTTAAACTACATATTAATTTTAATAATAATGAAAAAACTTTCAGAGTTTAAATAATATATTTGTAGTCACTGCTACC